GTCAACAAAACATTACCGAAGTCTTCACCCGCCACCCACCACAGCCGCCCAAGTCAGTGATAGTGAGGATATGGACTTTGAGGGTTTGAAAAGAGGCCCTGCAAGCCTGTGGTGGATAGTGATACAATTGATACAGGATACAGGTGAGGCCAATAATCTGCCCTGCCTCGAACCAACCCCCATCCCCGTGGTTTTAAAACCTAATATTATTGATATTTCTCTTAAATATTAATTGTGTGTGCATACCATCATAAAATTAAGGTGATATTTTTACTACAACGTATGTATTGTGTCGAAAAAGTGTAGTTTGGGGGTCGCCCAGTCTCTATTTCAATTAATCCCATATGTTCTGTTATTTCATGCGTTTCTCTTTTTACGCGACCTCCACGGATTCAATTGGACACAGAATGAAGACTATACTGTACCAATAATTAAGTTATAAAAAAATATATTGCCAAACCAGTAAATAAAAGTCAAATGAAAGTTTAACACAGTCGCCATTTGCATACATTCCCTGCTCCACCATAGAAATGAAGATTAGCTGGGACGCTGATTCACTAGCAACGCTCTCCTATGTTTGCCTTCAGGACAATTATTTCTTTTACCTTTTTTCACAATATGTATGTAGGACGGTCGTATGTAACTGAGTAAAAATAAATGAAGAAAGTTATGTATATCTATCTGAAAATACGATTTGAAAATATAACACCTACAGCCTGGCCCAGTAGCCTGGTGGTTACAAAGATGAGCTAACCTGACTACAATGACATGATTAATCATTAATAATAACAGTAAATCCAGTGAAATATGGCATGGAGTGAGTTACAACTGCAAATGGCGCACTAACTAGCAGTCACTGCTCCCTTATCCATTCCTGTTGCCAGGTGCAGCCAGGCGCATTAATGGGAGAAATACATGACCTTCTTTTCTCTTCCCTTGGTTGGGCACCTTCCTGCAACTGGACGAAGATGGTTGAGGACGTTTGGGAGCCATCACAAGCACAAGGAGCACAGTTGTTAAGAGAGCAGAGTAGCACATGTGCAAACGGAAAGTGTTTAACCTGGATTGTCACTGAGGCGAGCGAGCACACTGGCCCAGCCACCTGGGACAAGAGACACACCTTATGGAACGCCATAAATCTCACATGCACCCTATCCCGCAGTGAAAGTGCCAATTTAAAACTACCTGTAGACATTCTTGGGTACATCCAGGGTGTCATCCGAAGAATCAAGGCCGAGAATTAAAAATCCGTGAATTGTAAGGGCCTGCTGTATAGTATTTACATACAGATTTAACTGCTAGATTTATGGGGCATAAAAAAATAGTATTTAATACAGTAATAATAATGAGATAACCAAACTCACCTTTTGGAAGTAATGCATGTTAAGTGTAAACCTGATCAGATTTTCCCCATGATACAACATAGCTCAATGCAGGGTGAGATGTTGGTCCCAAGCTTCTGGCATGTATTCATGAGACACTTACTCAAGGCCACTGACACTAAGAACCAAAGCTGTAAAGAAAAGAAACAAAACAAAACATTGGTTATACAGCAGTACTTCTTGTAAAATAGAGCAGCTAATGAAGATATACATCTATTTAGTTAATTGCAACTGAGAATCAAAGTACTGTACATCAACTATATCTTTTAATACTATTCCATCCTTAAATGGGTGGGACAGATATGAGCCTGGAAAGAAAATAAATAATTTTTGTGGTTAATATATGTGAGGTGAAAGAAAGTAATTCAAGCCTTATGCAATACTTAAATGCATCATATAAATTAAATTTGCTCATTACCTGATTTGACAATGAGATATTCATCCATTTTCACCCAATCAAACATGTCATGCATATTCTCTTTTATTTTTCCTGGTATTATCAACTCCTTCACTAAGAGATGCCACTTTAATATTCTATTTTTCTAATGTCATGCAATTTTATTCAGTTAAGAGGGGACCCAATACACAAGGGGTCCACTGGCATATGTCTGTACTGTACAGTAATTCAACAACTCAGATTTACTAACTCAATTTATCTCCTATGTCAGACATGGGCAATCTCTCAGTCATGGGCCAGATATGATTTAGGCAAACCCCGTTATTCATATCCTCGTATTCAGAACCCTGTTTATCCGCAATCAATTTATTGTTACCCATTTCCACTATTTGCAATGCTTGCCCTGTTTATTAGCAAATTTTTATAAAAATTTTGAACCGCCGAGCCTCAACTGTAGAGTAGGACAGCGGTGCACGATTCCTCCGCCATATGCCCCGCCACCTCAGTCTCACACCTGCTGGCGTGTGTTTCTGTGATCTCGAGTTGTGTTTTGTGTGATCTTGCAGTTGTGTTTTGTGTGATCTCACAATGCTTAGCGACCAGCTACTAAAACTCCCAGCAATATTGTTAAGAGATCACGCTGTGGCAGCTACATTGGACGGAAATGGATATCGAGAAAGACATGAACACGGAGAAGGAAAGTCAGTGATTGGGCTGGTAATGGTTTGGCTCTCTATGGTGCAGTCTATAGTTAAAAGCACGACAATATCAAGGAGATGGCCGGGTCTGCAACACCACTGATGGCTCTTAGCGTGACAGGTTCTGTGATGCTGAGATGGAGAGTATGGAGCGGATGTTGAGCACGGATTAACGACCAGACCCAGCGCCTTAAAACACCTTTATCACAAATGCATGATTCAACAGAAGGCAGTGGAGACCAACAGCTTTCAGTGCAAATTGACAGCGATAATGAGTGAGATGGCTGACGACCCTGGCAGGAGGAGAGGAGGCTGACGACCCCAGTGAGGAGAATGAGGTGGCTGACACCTGGCAGTGAGGAGAGTGAGGTGGCTGACGACCCTGGCAGGGGAGGAGAGTGAGGTGGCTGACAACCCTGGCAGTGAGGAGAGTGAGGTGGCTGACGACCCTGGCAGTGAGGAGAGTGAGGTGGCTACGACCCTGGCAGTGAGGGAGAGTGAGGTGGCTGACGACCCTGGCAGTGAGGAGAGTGAGGTGGCTGACACCCTGGCAGTGAGGAGAGTGAGGTGGCTGACGACCCGGCAGTGAGGAGAGTGAGGTGACTGACGACCCTGGCATTGAGGAGAGTGAGGTGGCTGACACCCTGGCAGTGAGGAGAGAGGTGACTGACGACCTGGCATTGAGGAGAGTGAGGTGGCTGACAACCCTGGCAGTGAGGGAGAGTGAGGGTGGACGATCCTGGCAGTGAGGAGAGGAGGTGACTGACACCCTGGCAGTGAGGAGAGGAGGTGGCTGACGATCCTGGCAGTGAGGAGAGTGAAGTGGCTGACAACCCGGCTTGCCTCACCCCAGTAAACCTTCACCCCTCCCCTAATGCCAACTTCAGCAAGCAAGCAACAAAGCACATCAGAGATAAATTAACAGTCTCGTTTAAAACTTACCTCACACACCACACATAAACACTCCACATTCAAACATGTAAGTACCTGTATACTGTAACAGTACAGAATTTGTAAACATATACGACCAATAAACTCAAAGTGTTTGTCATTGATGTTTATTTGATATTATTCCCTCATTTCTTTATTTATTTTATGTTCTATATGTATTGAGTAAAACAATTGTTAAAATCTGACAGCCATGACCACCCATATCCACCCTATTTACATTATTTATGGGAGAAATTGACTCACTATTCGTAATTTTGATATTTGCAACGAGTTTCAGGCACATAACCTTGTGATAAGTGAGGCAGCCTTGTAATTTCTGAGGGCCAACCCACCAAAATTTCTGTCCTTCCTAAGCTAAAAGTAATGTTAATAATGTACAGTATTAGCACGGACAGTGAAGCAGTTTATGATATTTTCAGTTTACAATCAGTCTTTTTCCTATTTATGAAACAAATCAATCATATTATATTTTTAAGTACAGTGGTCCCTTGGTTAACGAGCTACCGTTAACGAGTTACCCTCCATAAGATTCTTAACTTCGTTAACGAGCAATCCCTCGATTAACGAGTTTCTAAGCTGACCTGAACATGTTTCGCATTTGAATTTGTCCACCAGCTGTAGTATTAGTCCGCCAGTACAATAATCGGTTCTAGGGTTTAAATTCTTACCATTTTAGTAAATATCAAGAAGTTTATACTATTCAATAATTTTAAAAGTTTAATATTAAATTTTTAGTAATTTTAACAATTATTGAACATGCCATCCAGCCTGCCAACACACCATACAGGCATCAGTCTTTGTGTCTTTTCAGTGGAGGAACATCTTGCTTGAGACTCTTCAACTAAATGCTTTTTTCTGTTTGCAAGCAAATTATTGGTCATTTTGAAATTTATTTTACATATTGACAATATATAATGCAGTGCAGTGTTGATTAAAGAACATAATCTTGAATTACACCAAGAGAACTAAAATTTTATGGGTGAAATGGCGCACTTCTCTTCCACCCCAATGCCTTCTCTTCTCCTCCACCCCCATTCTAATTCCCATCATCATCATCATCATCCAGGAGCCTTCTACATACACACCTCAAAGTAATTGTACTTTCTACCTTTTTTGTTGAATTTAGGCAATTTTGGTGAGTGGAACCAGTACCCCAAAACCCATTGAAACAATGATTTGGTTAACGAGTTTTTGGTTAACGAGCAACATTCTAGAACGGATTGTGCTCAGTAACCGAGGGACCACTGTACAGAAATATCTCCGTTAGCGAATCCCTCAAACCTGTAACTCTCCGATAGCGGAATTGAAATTTTCAAAAATTGTTCCCCAAAGCCATAATTTTCCGAAAAACCCGGCTTTGGGAACGATTTTCCGAGGGCACGTTTACCGAAAATTCTGGGGATGGGGAGTTTTTTCTGTGTTTGAGGCGCATTTTCTAAAGATAGCGAGAAAATTTTCTGTTACCCGAAAATTACGGAAATTCTGGGGATGAGGATATTTTTGGGTTTGAGAGATGATGTAATGGGTAATTTCTGGAACTTCGAGCAATTTTTCCGCTACTCGGAAAATTCCAGGGATGAGGATTTTTCGGGTTAGAGATGATGTAATGGGCAATTTTCTGTTACCCGAAATTCCGAGGATGAGGGATTTTTTGCAGGTTTGAGAGAGTCGCCTCATATCCAGAAATCTTCATCTCTGAAGTGCTCTGCACCAATTGTTCGCTAACGGGATATCACTGTAGTATGTTAATGTTTCTTGACATTTAACAGAAGATGAGTAAGCAGTCTCTGAATAAGCTAAACATTTTCTGACTTATGAGACACACCACCGACAATGATGTTAATGATAATTCATGATGAGAAACTAAAATGAAACAACCTATAGGCACATATATTTATCTATTTATTATACAATATATATATATATATATATATATATATATATATATATATATATATATATATATATATATATATATATATATATATATAATATAATAAAATAATACAACAAAAAAACAACACACACAACAACACACAACACAACAACAACACAACAACACCAACAACAAAAAAAAAAAAAAAAAAAAAAAAAAAAAATAGTCTCGATTTACGCAGATTTGGTTTACGCGTTTGGTCATTTACGCGGCACCTAGCCAGACTGACAATTTTTATTTATGCGGTTCATTCCATCATTTGCGCGGGAAGCGGCGCGGGCAGGGTGCGCACAAGGTCGCCCAGTCAACAAAACATAACCGAGTTCTTCACCCGCCACCCACCACAGCCAGCTCAAGTCAGTGATAGTGAGGATATAGACTTTGAGGGGTTTGACAAAGAGGTCCTGCAAGCCTCTGTGGTGGATAGTGATACAGGTGATACAAGTGATACAGGTGAGGGCCAATAATCTGCCCTCTGCCTCAGAACCAACCCCCCATCCCCGTGTGCCCAGCCATCTCTTCTACTAAGTAAGTGTTAAAAAACCTAATATTATTGATATTTCTCTTAAATATTAATTGTGTGTGCATACCATCATAAAATTAAGATACAGTAAAACCTCGATTAACCGACTTTCGGATTAACCGTCAATCCCGAACTCCTAAAAAAAAAAAAAAAAAAAAAAAAAATTTTTACAGGGCTTAGCCCACCCGGGCACAGGTCACTGACCCACATCGGGGCCTGGGGGGCGATAATATAATAATATTAATAATGATAATAATAATAATAATAATATAGGTTGTACCTCTCTAGTCCGGCAACCTCGGGACCTGACCGGTGCCGGACCATGGAAATTTCAGGACCATGGAAATTCACCCTTTTCCTGGATAGATAGTGACTTGGCTTGGAAGCACTAGCACCACTTTCTCTGCTTCATGGTCTCTTTGAAGACACATTGAAGGGATAAATGTCGTACAGCTGCTTCTCAAATTTCGCAAGTTTTTAATTCGACGTTTTCTATTTGAACACAAAAAAAACAACACACTTAAAAATTTTCACGGCGGAAACTCGAATTTCGACGTGTTTGAACGGCCCACCAACGTTCAGACGACGTGCACAATCTGTAAACAGCGTCATTTCTCTTATGTACAAAAGATTCATTATTGTTTATTACTGAAAGACTTTTTGATTGAATTAATGTTTGTGTGTGCAAAATAAGCAATACAATTCATTAATAATAAGTAGAATATTAAAACACGAGGAAATGAGACAGCATTGTTTTCGTTGATTACAAAACTAGTGACTGACTGAAGAAAATAATACCTTGGTTGTAGCTGTAGTAAAATTAATATGGTTGTTTTAAGTAATGTTATTTAATGTTAATAAATGGAACAATAGAAGTAGCTAACGATAATGGTAAAGAAAAAAGAGAGATCACGTATGTAAGTGCGCACACGTGAAAACATATCGTAATTACTTTACATAAGAATATGAAAGCAACACTTATTTACTGTTCATATATATTTTAATTAATGTTTCTGAATTTGTTTTTATTGAATTAATGTTTGTGTGTGAAAAATTAACAATACAATTTATTAATACAGTAGTACCCCGATTTACGCGGTCAATTGAACCCACAGGGTACCGCAGAAAGTGAAAACCGAGTAAAGTGAACAACAGAACATATGGGATTAATTCCAATAGAGACTGGCCTGACCCCCAAACTCCACTTTTTCTGACACACTACCTATGTTGTAGTAAAAGTAACATCTAAATTTTATGATGGTATGCTCACACAAATAATAATTAAGAGAAATATCAATAATATTAGTTTTTTTAACACTTACATTAGTAGAAAAGATGGCTGGGCACACAGGCAGAGTGCAGATTATTGGCCCTCACCTGTATCACTTGTATCAATTGTATCACTATCCACCACAGAGGCTTGCAGGGCCTCTTTGTCAAACCCCTCAAAGTCCATGTAAGTCCATATCCTCACTATCACTGACTTAGGCCGGCTGTGGTGGGTGGCGGGTGAAGAACTCGGTAATGTTTTGATGACTGGGCGACCTTGTGCGCACCCTGCCCACGCCGCTTCCCGCGTATATGAGTAGATGCACCGCGGAAAGTGAAAGTTCGGTTCTGGCGAGGCACCGCGTAAATGAGAAATCGCGGAAAGTGAAACCGTGTAAAGCGGGGTAATACTGTATATATAATGTGTATGCATTTTTTTTTGGGGGGGGGGGTAAGGCTAAAGTCTAGGCATGGTAAGAAATAACTGATGATTTACTGATATGGTATCTAGGTTTTTTCAGTGAATTTATTGGTCTTCAACCCCTTTATACTGCCCCTGTCTGATCAAGAACAGCTGGATAAAATGAAATCTTGGTCAATGGTCAGGGATTTCTGCATTCAGGAAAAGATATTACTTTATGGCATGGTCTCTTTCAGCCTCTCTTGTCAGGTTCTTAATTCTAATGTAATTTTTTACAACCTCCACCAACGTCATTCTTATCCTATCCCTGGCTCTCCTCCATTCTATCCACATGCCCAAACCATTTCAATCTGCCTCTATACAAAATTTTGCTAACACTAACAATGCTCAACAGCCCTCTTAGCTCTTAACATGGTTCCCTGTCTTTCAGCGTCACATTACACACCCACCTCACCATTCTCATTTCAGCTCACTCAAGCATGCATATGCCATCCTCTTTAAAGAACCATGTTTCACTGCAATACAGCATCACACTTCTCATGCCAATTGCAGACATCCTTCCTCTCACACAGAAGTTAGGCCCTCTTGCTATCAGTGAGCCAACATTATTGCACAATTTAATGGGTAAGCATATTTCAATCGTATCAATTTTAAGTTCTATGAAAATTATCCTACAAACATTTTTAAAATTGACTTTTTACCTGTTTAACAGATGTTGGCATCTGCTGAGTAGAAAGGTTATGTGTAACTGTCTCATAAAGCTGGGGATACTGTTCTTGAGTAATGCCATGTGCTGTCCACTCCTCCATAATTCGTTCTAGTAAAGGTATCCACAGAGGAGGTGCAATCACTTCTAATTTCATATCTTCATTTTCATGAATATGATCATCTTCAGAATTAACTATTCCATTTACAATGTTCATTTCACCTTGGCCCTCTTGATCATCTAGGTTCTTTTGCTTCCTTATACTTCTCATAAGGTAACAGTTATATACTTCCTTCTCTACACTGACCTGCTGCAGTAGTTCCCGGATAACACTGTGGCAGCAAGATACTGCCTGGAACCACTGTAGAAGATGAGATTTTATACACATTAAAATAAAGGTATGTTAAAGAAAGATTTACCTTGTATAAACTCTGCATTTTCATAACAATATTTACATAGTACTTCCATAAGCAACGATAGATAAAAATTAGGTTCCACCCACCATTGAAACCATCTATTATAGCAATTTTTACCCCTTAAATACCATATTAAAGCCCTTATTTACCATCAATTGTATACCCCCCAAACATTATTATAAAAAGTACGCTAGTCAATATATTCAAAATTGAACTTCAATGTCTAATAATGATGTGGGCTGCTAAATGCATACAATATGGCATTGCACCTCTATACAAGACAGAAGAGTTGCTTCCCACACTCTTTCATGTTTCCAGTCTGTTGTATGAAGTGAAGTAAAATAGTAATACATGCCCTTACTCTTATGCTGTATTGCACATGACAAGAGATGATATCTAACATTCACCTCTGCCAAAAAGTCGACCATGCATAAATGCATGTGGCCTATGGTCCAACATTACACAAATTAATTCAGCTAATAATACAGTGCATACACACACATCAGTCAGCCCCCAGTGAGACGAGACGTGTCCTGTAGGCGCTCGTGATTGGCAGCCAGGTCAAGTCTATTTGACCCCCCCCCCATATCCCAACTCCCTACCAACCTCACTACACCAGAATTTATCAGCAAAACATTCAAATGATCAATGCAATGATTGGTTACGAAACACTGATCCGATTTTGTATTCCAAGAAAAACACACACATAAAAAAATGTGATTCACAGCAGTGTAACACCAGGCCGTGGACACTTTGTCGGTAACCTTCAAAGTGCCAGTGACAAGGACCACCGCGGTATTTACATATACCGTGAGTACTGTGTCGGCGACCCTTTAAGAGCCTGAGACAAGGACTAGCGGTGTTTATGACTAGACACATATTAACCGATGTCTATCGGTGTCAGCGGCCCTCAGAGTGCCCCCATTGAGTTTATGGCCACCTCGGACGAACACATCCCCCTGTCCAAAACAACAGATATCAATAGATGTCCACCAGTGATGTATTCCCGATGCGCCCTGTACAATCTAAAGCATGGGAATGGTTAACCTGATGGCAATTTTATCGCATGACTTAAGTGACTGAACATATTCCATGCTCGCAACAGTAGACAAGACGTTATAAATAGAAGCCCATTAGGACCATCACCTCCACTAAAAAAACAGAGAAACCTACTCCTGACAGACCGTACCAAAACACTGAAGTGCCCCGAATATCGTACGGTCTCCCCTCCTTACTGCTCTCCAATGTCACTTCCTTAGCTAATATATTTGACGAACTGGCAACCACAGTCCAATCAGTTGCTGCCAATGTTGTTGCCATATGCAAAGCTTGGCAAATTGTTCCTGAAATGTGCCACATTGAGGGATATCAACTCTTTTATCACCTTCATTCACATGGAAGTGGAGGGGGCGTTACCCTCTTCTGTCAAGATGAACGATGTCCGTCACACCTGGATGTTTTAGTCCCAGCTGACGTGGAGGCATTATGGGTACACGTTGTGCCACGTGCCCACCCGCGCCACACTGCTTCTATTATATACTGTATGGCATACCATCCACCTCGCACACCCACCAGAGACACTCTTATCAATCACCTCATTACCACCTCAGAGTTAGGTACCCATGCGCCAAGCTAGTACTATGTGGGGATTATAACAAAATTGACACCACTGATATCCAGGACCAGCTGCTACTATCACAAGTTGTGAACTTCTCCACACAAGGTCAAAATAACCTTTGATCTTATCTTAACTGACTTAGCGGATCAGTACCAACCACCTCAACCAATGCCTCCTATCGGGTGTAGCACACACCTATCAGTGCTCTGGTCCCCAGCTGCCATTACCAGCTAAGTACAGAGACCCTACATCAAGACCTATAGGCCGATTACTGACTCTGCAGTGCGTCTCTTCGGGCACTGGATAGTTCACCATCCCTTGACTGAAATACTTAGTGTGGATGACGTGGACACCAAATAGATAAATTATACCAACACCACCACGGAAGCTCACCACCACTTCTTCCCCGAGAAGTCCGTCAGATCACACCCAGTTGACTTGCCCTGGATCACACCTCGGATCAAATAGTTTATGCAACAGAGAGACAGTGCCTTTTATCTCAATGACCACAACCGCTATGGGTCCCTTCACAACCAAGTCATCCGTGAAATACGCACTGCAAAGAAGTCTCACTACCTAATGAAGTTGCATCACCTAAAGCAGACCAACATCAGTCAGTGGTATGGTAAGCTTAAAGAACTCTGTGGACTAAACAATAAGATGCACCCCCTCCTCTTCCTTAGCCATCTCACTAATGGCGATGCAGCTGAGCAATCAAACAACCATTTCACAACTATATGCCAGACGCTTCCCCTGTTTGACACAACCAGTCTCCCTGCATATCTACCAGCCTCCTTTCCCACTGACTTAGTAAAAGAATTTGAAGTAGCAAAACGTCTGGACAAACTGAAGTTAAAGCGCTCCACCACCCCCATTGACTTACCAATGAAACTCTACAAGGAGTCCTCGCCGGAACTAGCTAAACCCCTCTGCTCCATCATCAATACTTCCCTCAGCCAAGGAAGAGGCCCAGCTGACTGGAATACCTCAAATGTATCGCCAGTGCCCAAGTCAACCAGCCCACAATCCTTAAATGAGCTAGGTCCCATTGCCGTCACCCCAATACCCAACTTAATCTGTGAAAGTTTCGTGCTTGACTGGGCTTATAATGATATTGCAGGCGCCATAGATCCTCAGCAATTTGGCAATATGAAAACTTCCTCCACCACTCACTGCCTTGTCAGATTTCTTGACTACATATACCGCCCTCTGGAAAAACGAAAGACGTCTGTGGCTGTCGCCTTCATTGACTTCACCAAAGCATTTGACCTAGTCGACCACAATTTAATTAACAAACGACTGACCTCGGGTTTCGAAGAAATCTTATACTGTGGCTTACAGACTTCCTTAGTGACCAATGCCAAGCCGTACGCTTCTGGGGGCTGTCTCTACTTTTCAGTCTCTCACCTGTGGCCTTCCCCCAAAGCACCAAGATGTGACCACTCTGCTTCCATATGCTTATCAGTGATACCCTAAGAGAAACCTCTGCTCGCTGGAAATATGTCGACGTTTCCACCAATGGGATCACTGTGTATAACTCGGCTGCCGACTACACCGCCCTCCAGGATATATTGAAAAGTCTCCATAATTGGGCCACCAACAACCACGTCACCATCAACAATACCATGATCATGGTTATGCACATCAACCTCTCCTCTAACCTTGTCCCACCTCCCTCCATTACTTTAGGCCCCAACACACTCCAGGTTGTGGACTCCATTATGCTCCTCGGCATTACTATTGATAAACTAAACTGGAAAACACACGTCAGCACAGTTGTCAAATCATCCAGTTTTCGTCTCCAACTCCTTCGCTGATTCAAGTCCCTCGGAGTTCCTGCGCTCGAACTCCTCCGTGTTTACTCAACATTCATACTTCCTGAGCTCAACTATGCCTCCCCTGCCTGGTCTTCCTCCCTAAATGCCACACAATGTAAACACACAGAAAAAGTTCAAAAGAGGACATAAAGATTATTCTCTCCCCTTCCTACTCCACATACCAAGAAGCGCTCAACACACTGACCCTCTCAGCTCTCTCTGACCATCACCACGACCTCATCTGCAAATTTGGTGAGAAGCTTCTGCACCATCCCCGACACCGGCTCCTACTTCCACCCGAGATCCCTTATCCGAGTGTCACTGATTGCTATAAGAACAGCCCAGTCCTAACCATTGCAAAATTTATCAACAACTCATAATCAACCAGTGTATTCACTCCCAGTCAATCTTGATTTTTTGTACTGTCACTATGTTGAAATGCCCTGTAGTATAACCTTCTCCCCATCTAATTATTATCATATTTGTATCACTTATGTTACTTGTATATTTTCAGCCTTCGGGCTGCCATGCTCTTTCAATAAACCATTAATTATTATTATAACAGACACACACACACACACACACTACTACTACTACTACTACTTTGTTGTCACAATCATCCAGCTATGATACAATGATATGAGTTATTAGGGATGTCACCTTCATTGGTGAGTTTTGAGGTGACTAAAGAGGCCGATACTGGACTGGTAGAGTTGTTCACATAAATCGCACATGTGGAGGGCTGCATCGAGTGTGGCAGGGGGGGTGGCAACGTCTTTCCGGCGTTGGTGCTTGTCTGCTTCGGTTTGCAGTCGGCTAACTCGAAAGTATTGACACCTTCTCGTATGGTGCTCCTCCAAGCGTTACAAAGTGGAGTAATCACCTCCCAGGTGAGGGGGTCGATTTGGCACTTTTTCAGGTTTGTCTTAAGACTATCCTTATACATTTTCAGTTGCCCACCGGCGTTACGTTTACTATTCGTTAGATGACTGTAAAGTAGTTGCTTTGGCAGTCTACTGTCGTCCATGTGGGTAACATGGCCAATCCAGCATAGTTGTTCATGGATAATGGTAGCCTTGATGCTCCTACAGTTGGTGTCAGCAAGAATACTGGCATTTGTTCTCTTGTCTTCCCAGCGAACTCGGAGGATGGAATGTAGACTACGTTGGTGAAAGTTTTCAAGTGCCTTGAGGTTCCTCCTGTATGTGACCCATGTCTCACTGCCATATAGCAGGGTAGGGAGGACCACTGCTCAATATAAATGTAACTTTGTAGATAATTTCAGCTCCCTACAGCTGAAAACACTGTTTTGGAGTCTGCCAAAGGCTTCAGATGCACATCTGATCTGATGCTGAATCTCTTCATCGATGTCTGCAGTGGTGGACAGGTGGGAGCCGAAATACCGAAAGGGGGTAGTACCGCTAAGCTGAATGGACGGTGGAGGTGTGTCCGAGCCAGGGGCAGGTTGAAAGAGAATCTGAGTCCTACGTACATTCACCTCAAGGCCGAAGTGTGCATACGCATCTGCGTAGGTGTTCAGGATCTCCTGCAGGTCGTGTTCAGTGTGAGTCTGCATACTGAAGTTCAGTAATGAACCTGCCGACACCTTTGTTCGAGCCTGGAGTCGTCTTATGTTAAAAAGACTTTTCATCTGGTACTCAATGTCCACCCCGCCAGCTAAATTGGCACTGGCACGAGTAAGGAAGGCAGCCAAGAAAATGAAAAAGAGAGTTGGTACCAGTACACACTTGTTTAACCACTGTCTGGATGGGGAAGAACTCAGACTGGGTGCCGTTGTACAGGACACTGCCGTTCATACCATCGTGGAGTTGCCTCACATGGCGATGAATTTTGGTGGGCAGCCACAACAGCTGAGGGTCCACCAGAGAGCTTCCCTGTTCACCGAGTTGAAGGCCTTGGTTTGGTCGATGAAAGCCACATACAGGTCAAGACACTGTTCTCTGCACTTTTTCTGTATCTAGCAGGCAGCAAAGATCATGTCAATGGTGCCACGTAATGGTCTAAAGCCACATTGAGATTCTGGGAAAGATTTCTGCCTCAGGAAAAAGTTTGTTTTGGAGGACTCAGGTAATAATCTTTCCAGCTATGGACAGCAGCGAGATCCCACAGTAGTTGCCACAGTCTGATGGGTCTCCCTTGTTCTTATAAATATTGACGATGGAGGCGTCATTAAGAGCATGGGGGATTTTCTCCTTTTCCCATATATTCTCCAGGAAAGAGCGGAGACGGCTGGTAAGCAAAGGTCCTCCTGCTTTATACACCTCGGCTTGGATTCCATCAGGCCCTGAGGCTTTGTTATTTTTCATCTGTTTGATGGCAGTAGCTACCTCCTCCAGGGATGGAGGATAGCTGAGGTGGGTCAGCTCTGGATGCTGAGTGACCTGCTGGGTAGTCAGGACATCCACATCGGTGTTTCAGTTGAACAGTGAATGGTAGTGCTCTTTCCAGTGCTGAAGGAGGCTTTCATCGTCTTTAATTATGGCGTTACCATCGGATGAGTGGAGGGGGGGCTGCGCCACAAGTGGTAGGCCCATAAAATGTTTTAGTGGAATTGAAAAATTTGCATATCTTGTGCTAATCTGCAAATTTTTGTGTTTCACATGCTTTATTTTAAAGCCAGTCGTTTCTTTAGATTGTGAAGTTCCTGCTGGGGCGCCGCTTTCTTCTTGCGGAAGGGCATCAGCTTTGGTCCGAGACTGTGGGTTGTTCTGCCAGTCAGTTAGAGCAGCGCGCTTATCATCAATGAGTACATTGATTTCCGGGCCATTTTCATCAAACCAGTGTATTTTTTCGATCTGGCGAAGGGTCTCTCTGCAGGTTTTTGTCATGACAGTGTCAAGAATATCCCATTTGGTACTGGGAGTTGCATTGTTTGCTGTTGGGTTGTTTATAAACCCATGTTCGAATTGCTCTCTGAAAGCATGTGCTACCGCTGGATCCTCCAGACGCTTAGTGTTAATACCACTTCTGGAGGCTTGTTGCTTTCGCCCTTTTGGGGCGACTTGAGGAGAGAGCTTGGCTCTGACAAGCCAATGATCAGTGTCACAGTGGTCTGAGCCACGCCATGGCACAGGTGATGAGGACATCTCGGCGATCTCTTTCTCTGACAATGATGTAGTCAATTAGATGCCAGTGTTTTGATCGTGGGTGTTGCCACGAGTCCTTGAACTTGTCGGCCTGCCTAAACAAGGTATTGGTGATAGTGAGGTTGTGTGCAACACACTTGCTGAGGAGGAGTAGGCCGTTGGGATTACACATGCCTAGTCCATTTCTCCATATGGTTCCCTGTCAAATGTCAGCATCTCTGCCAACTCTGGCATTGAAGTCGCCAAGGAGTACAACCTTGTCTTCTCTGGGGATAGAGGTTAGCACTCTGTCGAGGTCGGGGTAAAAGACCTCCTTGATGTCATCCTCTGCATCCAGTGTTGGGGCGTACGCACTGATGAAGAAGGCATGACCTGAGTGATTCAGTGGGACTCGAAGCGTTATGAGGCACTCGTTGATCCCAATAGGCATCTCAGTTAGCCTGTGTAGGATGCGTTGGCGGATGACAAAGCCAACTTCATAAATGCGGTTTCTCTCCGCAGCAGGCTTACCCTTCCAGAAGAAGGTATAGCCAGACCCCCGTTCTGTGAGTTGGCCCTCATCTGGGAGCCGGGACTCACTAATGGCTGCTATGTTGATGTTATACCTAGCCAGCTCTTTTATCACAAGGGCAGTTCTTCTTTCAGGATGCACATTTGTGACAGTATCCAGAAGGGTCCTGAAATTCCATGCAGCGACCATAAGAGGTTGTATGATTTGTTTTTGTTTGGATCTGTGATTCTGGTTGTGTTTTTGACTGCATAAGGATGACCTTACTGGGTGCGGTTGCCTAGTGAGGTTTTTTTTTTAGGCAGGCTAAGTTTAGGGCACCTTTTCTAGCCCTTTCCCCATGTGGGATGAGCAGAGTGGCTCCTCAGTCGCACAGACAGGACCGGATTGCACTGCTGCCTAGATCCCATTGCCATAGGACTTTAGGGGGTATAGGAGTTTTGATGAAAAAACACACACACACACACACACACTACTACTACTACTACTACTACTACTAATTTGCTGTCACTCAGAATCGAGTATGACGATCATCCAGCTATGATAGAATGATATGAGTTATTAAGGATGTCACCTAGGTTGATGAGATTTGAGGTGATTAAAGAGGATGATACAAGACTGGCATGGAGGGAGAGAACTAACTGAGCAACCCTCCCCCCTCACCCACCCACAATGGTTTGCCTACCACACCCACACACACCCTCCAACAACACCCCACACCCTCCAACAACACCCCACACCTCCAACAACACCCCACACCCCTCCAACACCCCACACCCTCCCAACACCCCACACCCTCCAACAACACCCCCACACCCTCCAACACACCCTCAACAACACCCCACACACACACCCCCAACCCACACCCCCCACACACACCCTCCAACAACCACCACACACCCTCCAACCACACCCCACACACCCACCCTCCAACAACCACCCACACACACCCTCCAACAACTACCCCACACACCCTCCAACAACCACACACACCTTCAACAACCACCCACACACACACACACACACCCACAACCACCCACACACACACACACACCTCAACAACCACCACACACACCCTCAACAACTACCCACACACACCCTCCAACAACTACCCACACACACCTCAACAACCACCCACACACCCCTCAACAACTACCCACACACACCCCTCCAACAACCACCCACACACACACCCTTCAACAACCACCCACACACACACACACACACACCCTCCAACAACCACCACACACACACCCCTCCAACAACTACCCACACACACCCTCCAACAACCACCCACATACACACACACACACCCTCAACAACCACCCACATACACACACACACCCTCCAACAACCACACACCCTCCAACAACCACCCCCACACACCCTCAACAACCACCCACACACACTTCACCATCCCACACCCTCCAACAACAACCCACACACACCCTCCAACAACCACCCCCACACACTTTCCATTAACCATCGCCACACACACCCTCCAACAACCACTCACACACACTCTCCACTAACCATCCCCACACACACCCTCCAACAACCACCCCCACACACTCTCCATTAACCATCCCCACACACACCCTCCAACAGCCCGATCCTAACACCATCCCGAACCATTGAAGCTGCCGGACTATCAGGTCCCGGATTAGTTGGGACGAACCTGTATTGTAATGATGGTAATGATGCACACTTTATTTTTATTACGGGGATTAGCCCACCATAATAAAGATCAATAGTGAGAAACGATATACGAGTATGTACGTATGTTGTGTTGTCAGTAATAAGAGAAACAATTGAGACCCTACAATTGTGTGTAAATGAGGCAGAAAGTCAGATCAGCAACCTGGGACTTGGTCACAATTTTTGTGATGCCATATGGCAACAGAGTCTACCATTAGACAATACATAATGCTTTCAATATCTTCCCAGGCGGTAGTACCTCTCTGTTTGGTACTAGGAGCAAATACTCCTCAGTTTTTACGACTTCTCTCCCAAGTTTTTCCCAGGGAGTCGAACATCTCTTCTAATTTTGACCAATGTTAAGTGAGTGAATGTTAAATGAAGGATACCTATATGTCAACTGATAAAGGCAGTCACCACACATCATTCTGCTTCAGAGAGATAGACAGGTAAACTATATTATAAGTTATCATGAATAAAAATAATATACTGTTGACTTTAACTGTAGAGAAAAAAGCACATAAATGTACAGTTAATAACAACAACATACATTACTCACATTAAGTTTAGGTAAATGACTCAAGAAAGACTTGATCTTCAACTGATCATGCCTTAGAGAGGCTTCTTTAAGGGCTAAAAGTCCAACTGAGTTAGCCAAGTCTTCATTTCCAGTATGCTCATACAACTTGGCTGAGACAAATAGCGACCCAGGATCACTTCGTCTAGCCATGGTACGAGCAGCATCTTCCACACGACCAATGCTCAACTGTCTGAAAATATGCATAAAACAACTTCTTTTTAAATAGTACAGTACTGTATAACTGTTCATTGACTTCTCATGTGAAAAATAACTGGCCAAGAGTGAGGCCATGCAAATATCTTTTAATAAATTTTCAATACTGCAATGCATTTCAACTCGCTGTAGTGAATATTTACTCGTAAAAATACTATTTTTATATATCCTGTACATTTAAAAAAATATATATAAATTATACAATTCAAACTATAAGAGAAAACATAACATTTTCAATATTGGTGAATTTTCTGGAGTAACTATGGAATACTTCCAAGATTCAACTCTGGCTTTTCGACACAAAATTTTGCTGGGAAAAATCAACTAAAAAATAAAGGTGTGGATAGGTCTGGTGTTTGGGAACAGATGGGAAACAACCGACACGTCAACATGTTCACTGTACAGTAAAGAGTTAACATTCATACAGTGCCTTATTTATAACAAGTACACCTCTACTGCCAAGGCTGTGTGGTGTTTATGTAATGTGAATGAGCCGAGCGAGTGAACCACTGTATGGCGTGAATGAGTGTGTGCACGAGTGCTGTCCTCCAGTGGCGTGATTGAGGTGTGCATGAGTGCTGCCACCTAGCGGTGTAAATGAAGTTGGATGTCTGAGTAGTTAGATGACATAGCACGAGGTTTCGTGGTCATGTGTATTACCCTGTGAGACAGACTGTTTCCTGCTGCACCACTGTACAGACCTCTCCCAGTAAACTGCATCTGTGAAGACTGTTTCATTCAACCGTCAGGAACCAAGTAGAACTTGAAGAAGAGCAAGTTGCGATCTTTTTATATGGACGAGCCATGCTGTATCTATCTTTTCTTCGGAAGGATCTTTCAGCAACTTTTTTTTTTAATAAAACCAACTACAGTACATTATACGTACAATTAATTGCTCTTTCACATGAAACCAGATAAAAAGTGAAAAAGAAAAATTAAATAATTTTGACAGTTTTCAATAAAACTTTTCAAAACAATAAGTGTCGGATAAAAAAGAAGTTATTTTTACACTTTATATTGGTGAAATAAAAAAATCAATATGAGTAATAATAAGCCTGGTAAATTGAAGAAAAAATCTAAAAAAATTTCCCAAATTATTCACTCTTTTTAGTTTTGCCATTATTTTCATAAATTTTCTTTGTTTTATTATTCCACTGGTTAGTATCAGTGTCTAGGTACGTTATGGAGGTTTTAGAATTTTGCTAACATATTCAGTTTGGCTGTAAGTGATTTTAGGCAAAAAAATAATTCCATCCACATATTGTGTACTGTTCTGTAATACATACTACTGTATTCACTATAGATCTTTGTTTAAACCAAAATATAATACAGTATACCTTTCTGTGTGATGGTAATGCTCAGGTATTTATTGTATCCACAGAAGAGAATTTATAACACAATTTACACACGTGATGCTTACAAGTTTCAATAAGTAAAATATTGTAAAATATAAATAAATGATTGCTTTGTAAACACTTATAAACACTTCACAGGGAGCTTCTTTGCTGGGACAACTATGATGTCTTATGGTCAGGGTGCAATGGACTTTTGCCAAGTAACCAATTAGTGATGGACTACTAATAGAGAGGAAGCCTAACAGAATGATGCATCAAAATCTCAAGGGTCAGTCGGATTTACTTGATATTTCATGAATTTTCTTCACTTGAATAATGCTTTGGGGCGTCAGTGCTAACTGGACAAGATTATTATTGATCATGGTGTGTGAGTGTTAAGAGAAAAATGGTGACGCAAGTTCTGAGGAACACCCAAAATGCTTTAAATTGCATAAAAAGCTGTACAGCAGACCCTCTATATGCCAGAATTCACCTTTTTTGGACTCTGAGATGTTCCAGCATCAATCCAGAAGGTTTGTGCATTTGTAGGTGTGGTTGAACATCTGTGCATGGATGTTGCACAGCACATGTCTCAGTCTGAGACCTGCCTTCATACCTATTGTATCAGTGCACTGCACCTCGCTACCTACACTCATTTACGTGAACTTTTTGTGTAGAGTACGTATTGTCTTTAACAAGGATACTTAAGGGTGTTAAGAAATGGGTAAAATTATACAGAATACTGAAGTACTGTACATATTTTAAGAACTAGGAAAAATTAAAAAATTGCTCATGAATAGAACAACACTTGTTCACTGATTTTTTTTGTTTTATGGGCATTAGCCCAGCCAGGCACAGGTAATGACCCACATCAGGGCCTGGGGGGTGAAAATATAATAATAAATAATAATAATTATTATAATAATAATAATAATAATAATAATAATAATAATAATAATAATAATAATAATAATAATAATAATAATCATAATTATAATAATAATAATAATAATAATGATAAGAATAATAATATCTATTATTATTATTATAACAATTAATAAAATTAATAGCAAATTAATAAAAAAATAATAATAAAAATAATAACCATAAATAAATACAAAATTGAAAAAAATAAATTCAAGAGTGAGAAATTATATACTGTACATTATATATGTTGTGTTGTCCAAGTAAGAGAAACAATTGAGACCCTGCAATTGTGTGTAAATGAGGCAGAAAGTCAGATCAGCAACCTGGGACTTGGTCACAATTTTCGTGATGCCATATGGCAGCAGGGTCTACCATTAGACAACACATTATGCTTCCAATATCTTCCCAGGCAGTAGTGCCTCTCTGTTTGGTAGCTGCCTATCTACCTACTATACTTTATAGTGGTGTAATCAGATTTGCTGTAGGCCTAACAAGAGCTAAGACACTACGAATATAAAGAGGCTGGAGGTGGAGGAGGGATTGGGGGTTGTTGCATTCATCAGGTTTATTTACTGATTCAATATCATATTCTCATATAATTAACCTCTTAAGGTGTATGAATCATCATAATTAATATAACACCTTTAAAAATAGAGAAATATAATATATACAGTAAAACCTTGATAAATCGGACTAATCAGACCCCTACCTGAAAAATATGAAAGTCCGAAAACAGCGAATATATAGCGGGGAGGGAGGGGGACTGATGACATTGCTTATCTAAACTGTTTAAAGAAAATCAGTTGTTGTTATGTTATTACTGCATTTCAACAACTTGGGTCTTTAAGTGTATAACGAGGTTATTAAAAGAATATTACATCAACAATAAAAAAAATATGAAACAGAACTCTCTGGGTTGAAAATCAGACATATTATATGTCTTTTGTCAACAATTGTTGTCACAGAGATGAGTGTTATTTACTGTAAAGTGTTATATGTAAGTAACCACAGAATTTGTCTTATGAATAAAGAGAAAACTGTATACTGTACAGTACTATAAAGATAAAAATAAGAACAAATAAGTGTAGGAGTATATTGTATGAGAGCAGCTGGCAGAGGGGAGGGTAGGGAGGGGGTAGCATGGGTGGGTGGCTCCCTCCCCCTCTCTTTCCCCCAAGATTCCCTTAACATTTCTTTATGCAATTTCACCACAATTCTCATATAATTTTGGATCATTTGGTGCCACGTTGATAAAATATTATCCTAAAAGAATCAGCTTTACTGAAAAAAGAATCCCACACTGAACAGAGTCAACACCATGAGTCATTTGTTAACAAAGAGCAAACAGCTATCAGCTTACCACAATGTCTTTCTTCAACACTTTGTAAATTAGTACAGTACAGTCGTGCATTTATCACCACTTAATAAATACTGTTGCAGTGTATTTATCACCACTAAATAAATACTATTGCAGTGTATTTATCACCACTTAATAAATACTGTTGCAGTGTATTTATCACCACTAAATAAATACTATTGCAGTGTATTTATCACCACTTAATGAATACTGTTGCAGTGTATTTATCACCACAAAATAAATACTAGTGCAGTGTATTTATCACCACTTAATAAATACTGTTGCAGTGTATTTATCATCACTTAATAAATACTATTGTAGTGTATTTATCATCACTAAATAAATACTATTGTAGTATACAGTATGATGCATTTGCTTATACCCTGGTTTTTCATTAATCAGTTGTCTAAGTGCTTTATATATACAGGGGTCCCTCGGTTAACGAACGGTTCGATTAACGAAATCTTTACGACAAACACGTTTTGGCGTGCGCATCAGCTGATGGGCTAGTCCGCCAATACAGTACAGGCATCCCCCGCGTTACGGAAGGGTTCCATTCCTGGAAAATTGACTGTATCGCGAAATTCCGTAACGCGAAGCCTATTTTCCCATTGACTTCCATTATAAAACTGGAGATGCGTTCCTACGGAATTTTTTTTGGCCCCCAAAACTTAATTCAAGCACTTTTATGAATGAAAATAAACATTTATAAACACATATAATACAGTACATTAAATAATTTATGATATGCATGTGCTGTAATATGAAGATAAATGCAGTTGGAATAAATAAAAATATTGTACTGTACTCATCACAAAAGATGTTGACTGCTGCGTGAGGATAGGTGGTGCAAAGGGAGTTATTGGGAGGGAGAGAGAGGGGCACTGCTCTTCTGCCCTGCCCTGTACAACATCAACTGCTGTCGGCTTTTCTCTGACGGTGAATAGCTCATCCAATGTTGTTTGACGTTTACGGCGCACCTTCTCCTTGTACAGCTTAGTGTAGGAACTGTGAGCATTGTTAACTGCTTTTGCAATCTTGATGTTCCTTTCACGGTTGGGGTCGTTATCCTGTATTAGTGCAAACCCTTTAGACATATCCTTTGTTGTCAACTGAAGTGGGGTGGGTGGAGATTCTACATCCTCTTCTTGTCCTGCAACTCGCTCTTGTTCCAATATCATCAGATCTTCATTAGTCAAATCTTCTCTATGGGACTCTAGCAACTCAACCACATCATTTTCTATGACTTCTCCAAAGCCTACAGTGTTTGCAAGTGTCACAATGTCTTGTTGAACTTGCTGTAAACTTTCATCTTGTGAAAAAACCTTGAAATTCATGGACACACTCTGGCCATATGTT